TCGCAAACCGATACTGACCGACCGATACTCACCCTTAACTTTCCAGTGAGTATGTAGAAGAACGAACTCTCCATCAAAATTCTATATAACCCTCTAAGCTGTGATTATATCTCCCGAAAGTTTTCATACTCTTAAAATGGAAAAGGAGAATGCAGTGAAAATTGTTGAAGTCTGTAAGATCTCTCCATCCTCACATTCTTCATCAAAATTTTCCCTTCCTCTCGCAGCCTTTGATTGGTTGTTCATTAACTTCCCTCCACTAGATCGTGTAATCTATTACTCAATCTCTCATAATTATTCAGATTCATTCTTCCATTCAATCATAATTCCTAAACTCAAGCACTCCCTCTCCCTCACTCTCAGCCACTTCCTCCCTCTCGCCGGCAACCTCCTCTGGCCGGCGGATTCCCCACTTCCCTTCATCCTCTATTCCCCCAACGATGCCGTTTCCTTCACCGTCGCCGAGACTGACTCCGACTTCCACCGTGTTTCCGGCAACCATCCACGTCAGATTAAAGACTCTTATCCCTTCGTACCCATGATCCAACCACCTAATTCTTCTGCCACCGCGGTTCCACTAATGGCCGTACAGGTTACTCATTTTCCAAATCATGGGTTTTGCATTGGCCTCTCTACCCACCATGTACTTTTAGATGACAAAAGTTTCAGCTTATTTTTCAAATCATGGGCTCACATCAACCGCTGCCAATTAGAATCATTGTCTCCTAATTACAATTTGCCGTCTGAATTCACCCCTTCATTTGAAAGGCCTACAAACGTCCTTCGAAACCCTCTCGATTTCGTCCCCAAAAAAAGAAGCTTGAAATTCTCACAACTCCTTCTCATGTCTCCATCCAACTGGATTCTAGGCACGTTCGAGCTGACCCCAACACACATAGAGAAACTCAAGAAAAGGGTATTGGAGGAAATAGAAGATGATCAGAAGGGTGGTTCAGAAGAAGAATTGCATTTATCGACATTTGTGGTGGCGTATGCGTATGCGTTGATATGTTTAATCAAAGCAAAACAAGGGGAGTGCAAAGAAGTTGTGCATTTATCCTTGGCTGCAGATGTTCGTGGGCTGTTGGATCCTCCAATTTCGAGCAACTATTTTGGCAACTGCGTGACCCATCGGGGGATGTTGGTGGAAGCCAGAGAATTTAGAGAAGAAGGGTTTGCAAATATTGTTAAGAAAATTAGCCATCTGATTTTGGAAGTGAAAGGAGGAAGTAGCGCAATCGAGGCGCATAAACCTCCTGATGTGGATGAGCAGCAGCACAGTTTTTTATCAGAAATCGAAGCTTGTACAGTTGTGGCTTCACCAAAGTTCAAGTATTATCAAAATGATTTCGGGTGGGGAAATCCCAACAAATGTGAGATTGTTTCGTTGGGAAGCAACAATATTGCTTTGACAGACACCAGAGATGGAGATGGTGGTATTGAAGTTAGTCTGCTTCTTCCAAATCCTCATCAAATGGACATCTTTGTTTCTCTCATTGCTCAGTGTCTAAATTAGTCTATTTTGGTTTCGATTCGCGAGCTTTTCATTTGATCTATAAATTTCAAAATCTCAAGTTTTTTTTTAACGTGGGATGTCTGGTAATGTTGACGTGGCGTAAAGAAAATGTCAGAGTAGTACGTCAGTACTTATTTTCTATTCAAATTATGACGCATCATTGAATAATATATATTGTTTTATTTAATAGAACACGGTTATTCTTAAATGTTGTTTTAATGGCCGACAATGAATGGAGGTAGCTAGTATGATCGTACTACCAGAATTTTTCTTATTTCTCATCTGCCACTTCAACATAGGATAAAATGATTGTTCAAAAGTTGATATGCCATGGAAATAATAATTTTAAGAGTGATCTGACATTTTTTTTTTTGAAAGATTTCTCTCCTAAGCTCTTTAGGTAAAAACTTTTAGTATTGAGTAATCCCTCCATTCATTATTTGCCACATTAGTGTTATTATATTAAAAGTTATATAGAGTCTATCAATATTAAAAAATTATCTATAAATATAAAATTATAATGTGATCAAACAAATACGGTCCTCCGAATTTTTTCCCATCCCTACCTTATGACTCATTGCATCCCTTATTTCCCCCATTCGCTTATCACGAGCTTCAACAATCATTCAATGAGCCCTAAGGATGTTGACTCATTATTTAAAAAAAAAAATCATTATTTTTACATCTCTTATGTGTAAAAGATTTGGTGAGCACATTTAAGTATTTTTTTTTCCTACCATGCGACTTTCTCTAATAATAATAATAAAAGTTGGATGCTTTGGAAATCTACCTGACTCCATAATAACCACCAACAACCAACCAAACTTTTTAATTGTTGCCCTCCACTATCTAATTAGTAACAGTTCAAGGGAGAGGTAATATGTGTCTTTTTTTTTTATAATTTCCTTTGATTAAATATGAAAAAATATTTTTTTATTAGTTATTTTTTACGTAAAAATAGATATCTTAAAGATAGGTTTATGTCTATGCTTTGATGCCATATTTCCTTGGAAATGAAAATATACTGCATCGGATCTATAAATTTTATTCCGTGGGCACAATATATATAAACGTGGTAAATAATCTACGATTATATATTTTTTTAAAAAAATATTATTACGTGATCACATGACTCGTGAGCCCTTCTCAAGAAACTATTAAATACAATAACTAAAATAACTAATATAAAAAGGATGATGTAGGAGATAATTAAAATTAAACAAAGGCAAAACAGCTTATTTACGCGTTACATTATACATTTATCCTGTTAATCACTCAATATTAATAGATATATAAGCATAGCTCAGTGGTAATTGACATATATCTCCAATCAAGATGTTGTAAGTTCGATCTCCCACCTATACACATTTTACTTAAAAAATATATATAGTATAAAAAGTTCATTAATTAAAATAAAAAACAACATGTGAGCTGGTTGGGCATCGAACTCACAAACTCTTTGGTTGGAAATATATGTCAATTATCGTTGAGCTATGTGATTGCTTTGACATTTAAAATAATTATTTCAATGCACAAAGTTAGTAGAATAAAATTGTAAGTTTAAGTTTAAATCTAGATTTGATGAGAAAACAATACATACAAATAATAACCAAATTATACACTAAAATTGGCAAAAATTTTTGTTTTTGGCAAAATTGGGGATTTGATATTTTTTATTTTGAAAGTAATTTGGCAAAATTTAAGAGCCCGATGATAACCATTTTGTTTTTGGTTTTTAGTTTAAAAAAAGAAAGTTGTTTGATAGTCAATTCAATTTTTTGTTTTTTGTTTTTCAAAATCCATTTTGAAATTCTATGTAAATTTCAAAAACAACAAAAGTAGTTTTCAAAAAACATGTTTTTGTTTTTCAAAATCTCATTTCTTCGTCTAATACTCAACTTTTTTTTCTTTCTCATATTTATCTTTAAAAAATTTATTTTCCATTCTAAATTTTTCTCTCCAAACTTTATTTTTATCTTTAAAACTTTTATATTTTGAATATTTATTGTTATTTGTCTCTTTCCAGAATTTTCTGTATTTTTATTTTTTCTAACAGATCAGTTTCATTTCTCTCTAAAAATTTAATATTTGTTCTAACTTTTTTCTCTAAAAAATTTCATATTTTATAACTTTTATGTATCTTCGTAATCTATTTTTTCTTCTAAAATTATATTTTATTTTATCGTTCAATTTTCTTTCACTATAACTTTTATTTATCTTTGTATTTATTTATTTTATATAAAAATTATATTTTGAATCTTGTTTTTATCTCTAAATTTGTTTCCACGATAATTTTTCTCTTTCTTTATAATTTTTTTCTTTAACATATCTTTTCCTCTCGACTTTATTTTTTTCTCCAAAATTTTTCTCTTTTTGTCTTTAACTTTTCTTTCACTATTTTTTTCTAAATATTTTTATTTATCTCTCTAAATTTTATCTTCCAAAATTTATTTACATCTCTATTTTCATGTCTCTACATTAGGATTAGGGGAAGACAAAAATTTCCGTAGGGTCGGGTCCCAAAAATAGAAAATGCACAATCCCGACTCCGTCTCCGATTCTATTTTTTAAATAATTAATATATATATTAAACTTTTTTATATTTAAATTCTAAAAATAATTAAAAACATTTATAAAACTGATAATTTTTCTCGAGAACATCTCTCAGAACCAAGAATGAGTGGAGACGGAGACTAAAAATTTTCACGAGCCCGAGAATGAGGGAGAGCATCCTCACTCGCACCCACAGTATCTCTACTCTACATAAAATTTTCTCTCTCTAATATGAATTTTCTAACTTTTTAAAAACACAAAACTAAAAATGGTTACCAAATATGTTTTGGTTTGTTGTTTTTTAAAAACAAAAAACGAAAAATGGTTATCAAACATATATGGTTTTTGTTTTTTAAAAACAGAAAACCGAAAACCAAAAACTAAAAACAAGAAAAACAAAAAACCAAAAATTAAAATGGTTATCAAACGGGTCCTAAGGGATTTAAATTGTAACCTTTAACCAATTTTAGATTTTAAAAATTAGTTAATATTGAGGTGTAGATACATTAATATAATTTGGGTGATGGGTACCATCTTAAATAGGGTGAAGTCTAACCATCTTGGTCCAATAATATTACATTTAAATTTGAGAAGGTAAGAACACAATTAAATAAATGCAGTAAAAAGATCATCGATAAGAGGTAGGAATGAGATACATATGTTCAGTACTGTTGAGCTATACTTTGCTTTAGCTAGTACGTAGGTGTCAATATGACAACAACACACTATTATCTTATTAAAACATCTCTGGCTAGGATAATACAATATAACGATCACTTTTATTTAAAGCAATTTTTTTATGCCCAATTAATTAAGATATCTATTTTCGACCAAGAGTTTGTGAGTTCGAATTCCCATCCCATACGTCGTACTAAAAAAAATAATTTTTTTGGATCATGTAGTATAGTTTAATTTGAACAATACTAAGGGTTACTGTCCTTACTCTCTCTTCATCTGAGTGAGGTTTCCAATAGATAATATCTCACTTTCTCCCTCTAATTAACCCACTCTGAGTAGAAGTGCAAATTAAAACTCTAATTTCTACCTATCTTTCTTCTTTTGTTACTTCATCCAACCATTGGTTTTTAAGATGGTAAGAGATGTCTTAATTCTCTCTTAATCTCTAATAGGTTCCTCTCTCAACTCTCTTTAAAGACAAATCCTCTCCCTCACTCCAAGCCTAAATAATACCGTTGACTTGTGATTGGTTGGTCTTTGGTTCGGTATATTTGATTTTAAGTGAAAATACACTTGACTCAATTTTTATTCTTTGTTTCCAAATGTCAATTTCAATTAGGTCGAAAATATCAACTTGATGCAAACCACTTACACACCTAGCTCGTTGGGATACCTTCTCCCCATGTGCAATAATTTATATGAACATGACATGCGGTCACTATCCCATTTCAAACAAAAAAAATATATTAAAAAAGGTACCACACCTTAGTACCTTTAACGTTTTCCAATGAGTAAATACACGAGTAGAAATTCAAATTTTCGTGAGGTTTTTTTCCAGACGTAAAGCTCTACCATATTAACTTATTTGTATTTAGAGTCTTCTAAACTTTCGAATTAATGAAGAGGCTAAATGCTGAATTAATGTAAAGGATCTGGGAAACAAACCATGATTTGGAAGATTAGCTGTAAATGCTGAAATATTGGTCTTATTACCACGGGGATCGTGTGAATTCTCAGCTTCTGGAAGGCTTGTGATCAAGTGGCCAACTATTCCAATGTATAGATTTTTGTAGAAATCTATTTTGGCATTTCTGTAGTTGAAATTAACATTTCTTTTAGATGGTTTTGGAAATCGTCCATGTGAAGATTCTTTATGTTGCGGCCAAAGGGTGAGGATGAAGTTTGGTGAAGTGAACTGGTTGTTTCATTCTATTGGGGTCATATATGAAGCAGAAGGAGAAGGAAGAGAGAGGAAGATAGAGAAAGAGGAGACAAAATGGAAAATAAAAATGTCATGTAATTTAAAACTAATAAATATATAATTCATTTATGTCACGTCAGCATTCCATTAGTGTTAACGGAAGTTTTTTTTTTAAAGATTAGAAACTAAACCGTTACTTTTTGAAACATAGGAATCAAATAGAAAATTATCTTCGATTTAAACTCATTGAGCAATAGTGACTTATTATTAGATAGATGAGAGATAAAAAAATAAAATTTAGAATAATAATGAGATTGATAAGTTTGGAGTAGATGATGAGATTATGCCCCCGTTCTAAATTTGAGGCGGATCTCCCACTAATTTATTCTATTTTAGTAAATGAAAAAAAAATTGATTTTGATTCCGTTATTTAAGTAAACGAGGCTTTGGCGTCTGACCACGTTTGGGAGCACGGCGTGCAGCTCTTTATTGTTGACATGTGGTTAATGGAGAAATAAAAGTTAATTTTAATGGAATAAAATAAATAATTACATTAAAAGAATAATTTATTGAAAAGAAGATAGAGACATCAAATAAAATTCATGGAGAAACCCTCCAAAATGGAAAGAAAGTCTTTGTAGTAGTAATAATTAATGTATTGGAGCCAAAGCAAAAAAGGGTAACTAGTTCATTGGTAATTTATGTACATCTACGATCAAAAGTTTTTGTGAATTCAATCCTTCATCCCTACGTGT